TGGCACCTGGCAGGTGGTACGCGATCATCCTAGAAAAGTGGAGAGCAGGGGAGGGGAATGAGCTGAACCGGTGGCAGCACCGCACAAGCCTGAGCGAGAGATGGCTGGAGCTGCAGGGCTCTCAGGGCTCAGCGGAAGCGCCAGGATCAGTATCGCTTTCCAGATGATCGGCGCTTCTTCGGGACTGTCAGGGCTCAGCGAAAGTGCCAGGATTAGCGTCAGGCTCCACCTGGAGCTCGACGCTGATCCTGGTGCTTCTGCTAAGCCCTGAAGAAGCATCAATCAGCTGGAAAGCAGCACTGATCCTGGTGCTTCTGCTGAGCCCAGAAGAAGCGCTGATCAGCTGGAATGTTGCAGCATCTCCAGGGTCTTATGATTTACACTCAAATGCTTGGCAACTGATTCATATTTATAACAGTTACAGTGTCCTGGGGTCATGGGGGGGAATAAAAACCAAACACCCTCCCATCCCATCCCTGCTGCCAATCCTCAACAGAAATGCCTCACAACAATGAAAACCTCGGACAGGAGGAAGAGCGCTGCAGGCAGGTGTCTTGCTCGGCTGTGCCTTGGGGGGGGGACTTTTTTCAGTGCTATTGTAACTTTGAACAGTCATTAAGCAAACTATTGTAAGTCAAGGACTACCTGTACTTTATCACTTTTTTCCTTTTTTTTTTGGTCAAGTTTTTGACATCTTGCTAGGTGACTGGTGGTACTCGGATGTTGCCATATTCTAAAAGTGGTACAATGGGTGAAAAGGTTGAAAAGCCCTGCTCTACAGGGGGCATGGATTTTTTTTGAACACCCCCTCATCTTAATTCCCCACTTAAATTCCATTAAATGGAATTTAAGTGGGGAATTAACATGAGAGGGTTTTCAAATAAATAAATAAAAATAATTCCTCACCTAAACCAGCCAGCTGCCCCAACTTGCATTGCAGGAAAAAAAGTTGAAGTTCAGAAGAAGTTGTCAATTTACTCCTTTCAGTGATATTCAACCCTTCTAGGACCCAATGGCTACCATTCGTTCATGTAAAGGAACCACCCAGCAATTTGGATATCCGTTTTTATCCAAACAGAGATATAACCAACAAAGATGATTGGAGGGCTGGAAGCTAAAATGTATGTATAAAGAACTGTTACAGGAATTAGATTTGTCTAGTCTAATGAAAAGAAGGATTAGAGTGTTAGCAGTGCTCCAATATTTAAGGGGCTGCCACAAAGAAGAGAAGACCAAACTATTTTCTAAAACACCAGAAGGCAAAACAAGAAACAATGGAAACTAATCAAGGAGAGAAACAACCTAGAACTAAGGAGAAATTTCTTGCCAGTGAGAACAATCAACCAGTGAAAGGGCTTGCTTTCAGAAGTTGTGGGTGCTCCATTACTGGAGGCTTTTAAAAAGAGACTGGACAGCCATTTGCCTGAAACGGTATAGGGCAGGGGTAGGCAACTTTGGCTCTTTTATGACTCGTGGACTTCAACTCCTCAAATTCCTGAGCCAGCCATGCTGAGGGGAAAGGGAGAGGTTTCCAAGCTGAGCAATGCTGGCTCAGGAATTCTGGGAGTTGAAGTCCACGAGTCATAAAAAAGCCAAGGTTGCCTACCCCTGTATAGGGTCTCCTGCTTGAGCAGTGGATTGGACTGGAAGACCTTCAAGGTCCCTTTCAAATCTGTTATTCTATTTTTCTGTTAACCTTGCTCCATTTTTCTTTGAGTATAAAGACAGGGATCAGCCACTGGATTAAATTCACTCTTCCTATGAGAAGTCAACTATTCCCTTCTCTTTACCTAGTGAAGAAGGGAGCAAGATAATAAGCAAAGAAGGTAATAAGCAAAATAAGAATGGAAAAAAAGGAGGTGCTGAGTTGTATTTTGTGTGATTACTTACTAAACTGTTGATGTTTCAGATATATAAAGAAAGGCTTTTCCCCCCTCTGGTAAGATCTGGCATTTCTACAGCAGTTTTAAATTATCAAATCATTGCACAGAAGTCCCAGAAGTCTTAAAATTGAGAAGATTGGACATCCCTGCTATATGGGTTGTTTCTGAAGTGGAAACAGTGTAAAGAAAACTGAAATTTATGGCTCCTGTTTGCCCTGAGGTCTATCTAGTACATTCAAAGCTGAGGTGAGGGTTGTTGAATCCAGAAGTTTATCTTGGCTCATATACTTGCTCTGAATGTACTGTGTTCCTCACACAGGTTAATGAAATAATTTGGATATATATGGGAATTGTAGCCATTCTGTAATTCCAGGCTATCTGAGGATACCAGGCTGAGACCTGATGCAGTACTAAATCATTGCCATATATGCAAAGGATTTTAAACACTCAAGTGTTTTATTTGGGCTCCAGCTCATCTGGATCCTTAAAGATGTTATACTGTCATTTACTTCCAGTTCTCCTGAGGAAAAGATATCATGTGCTTTAGGATGCTGGTTTGTTTTTTGATTAAAGTGATTTCAAGGCACTCTTGCAGTATCTAGATCACAGGGCATAGTCTAATAGGAAGAGAAGTGTACATTCAAAATACACTGTGAGAATGTAGGGGAGCAGGAAAGCAAACGGGAAATTAAGTGCTAAGTAATGTCATGATTCTTATTATTTATTGGAATAAGAATCATGACACTGGCCTCAGGTGATTCTTATTATTTATTGGAATACTTAATTACTTTAGATATTTATCAGAAAACAATTATTGGTTATGCTTAGAGCTAAAGTACTGAAGTGTCCTTTATTAACAATATATACCAGTAGGTGGCAGCATGTAGCTGACCCTGATGGATCTCATAAAAGCTAAGTCAGGCCTGATTAATAATTGTGTGGGAGAACTCTAGGGGATATCAGGACTGGAAGCTAGATTGAAAAGCAAAAAAAAAAAAAAAAAAAAATCTTGGAAAAACTCAGTGGGAAACTGTTTCTGTGCTGCTATCAGCCTCCCTCCCTCCAGCATGTGTCCGTGAAGGCACCAGGAGTCAAGTTCAGAATGAAAGGGATGTTATCTTTGATGTATCTGAGAACTTTATAAGGGAATGGTTTGAAGTGCCTAAATAAGTAATTAATCTAGCCATATAAAAAAGGGCTATGAGGAGTGGGTTGTATAGTTTAATACAGGGCTAATTTCGCTGTTTAATTGCGGTGCTTTTGGAGGTGAGGGTAGAGCCTCAATGGTGAGCTGCCATGTCTTCCCACACGTACTCTGTTTAAACAATGCTGTCAATGGGAGACAATGTCTTTCATGTCTGCAAATCTTCCCTGCCTGGGATTAAAAGAGAAGCCAGGGGAAATGTTGAAAAACAAGTCCTTCAGCTTTAAAACCAATAGCACTGGGGAAGAGCTATGATATTGCAGAAATTGGCAGAAACATAACTCAGTAGTCCACGGAAACTAAAATCAAAGACACGTGCACGTGTGCAAACACACACATGCACATACACAAACCCCATCAGAAACGTGTTAAGGAAGAAATGGAGGAAGGATTAGAATCATGTAAATAAACTGGATGTTGCAATGGAACAAGATGCTAGACTGTTATTCAATAGACGGCTGAATAACTGAAACTGGTGTAATACAATGAAAGCAACGTCTTACATTCTGGATCACTCTTTTGTTTGTTAGTAATAATAAGAGCTCCCAAAAGAAAGGAAACGAGCTGCACACTTTGAAGGCTGCTGTGATTTGAGATTCTGCATACTTTAAGTTGGTCGCCTGTTCAGTCCTGGTTTGTTCTTTTGTTCTGTTAGTTTTTAGGTAGTTCTTGACATGAGACCGTAATTGAGGCTGGAATTATGGTTGTAAGTTGTTGCATTGTTTAAGTGGTTCATCATGTGACCAGACCCAATTTCATGACATTTTTTGCAGCAGTTATTAAGCGAATACCACAGTCATTAATGAAATCCATTTTACCCGATGGGCAGTTTTTGCTGGAACCTGGAACTAAGTGCCAGAAACCGTCAAAAAAACATTGAAAATTGTGGTTTCATGTCTGCAGGACACTGCAAATGACCATAAAGGTGAGGTGGTTACTAAGTGCCCAAAATGTGATTGTGTTACGGCAGTGTGTTTGTGTGTGGAGGTGGCTGTCATAGCTTTGAAATAAAGTTGTAAGTAGCTTTTGAGGGATCCATCATAATTTTGAATGATCATTAAGCAAATGGTCGTAAGTCGAGAACTACATGTACTGTTGTCTAAAATCACCTTTCATTAAATTTGCCAACAACAACAACAACAACAACAAAAGGCTATCATAATAAGAGAAACTTGTACTTTCTTTGTCATAATGACATGTATTGTATTGATAGTTTTGAAGAGATTCATAGCCGGATGAGTAACAGGAATAGCACTTACATAAATAACTTGCTAATTAAAGTAGAGAAGGTTCAGGAAACCGCGCCCTCCATTTGGCCAAATTCCTTGGCATAGAATGAGTAAGTCCTAGCATCAGCACAACTTAGCCTTACAGAGACGTGTGCATTCAACTTGCTGTTGTTCATGCACAGACATCCAGTTGTATCTAAAGAGTTTGGCTTTATGCTATTGAATCAAAGCTTAGGGAGGACCCTAATTAACACAAGACTGAGATCTTAGTATGCTTCCTATATGGGCCTTTGCCATTACAGCAATAGCAAAGATTGAAATCTGGCTGTTTTGATTTAAAAAAAAAATACAGTGTCACTCTTTCCTGCATTATTTTTTATGTGCGTGTAGAGTCAACTGTTATACTGTAGTTGCATTTTTTTTTCTTTTTTGGTGCTTTAAGTGTTGCTATTTTTAAGATGGCACTATGGTTTTATATTTTGTGTCGAATAATCACATAAATAGATAGATAAACCCTTCTCCGAGAGCTGCAGATAACACTGAGGTCATGGAGGTCAAAAATAGCATGCATTGCATCACTTCGTTTGCAAGAGACATACTTCTGACTTAAAAACCATTAGGACAAACAGTGCCTTTAAACTTCTGGACAGGCAAGAACAGCAACAAACACGATGGTGCAAATACCTTAGATTTTTGGGTTTGCAGTCATCATTGATATCGACAACTTCCAGCCACCTTTTGGCAATTTTGTAGGATTCCTTGCAGCAGTTCATGCATCTACCTTCAAATTTTTATCCTATGACTTATATCCTTGTTCAGTCACGATTCAAGTAAAATGCTGCGTCCAAATGCACTGTAATGCTGATATAAATAAGAAGAGTTTGATAGTAGCAATGGTAGAAATGATTGGCGGAGAGTGGCTCTTAAGGGTGTCCACGAAGAGAAGATGAGAAAAGTAAAGATGGACACAGTCATATGATCAAATCCTGACCTTTTGCATAAAACGAACAGAGCTTTAATCACAGGGGTGCAACCACTATCTTAACATTTTTGGCTCACTGCTGGTGGCTGTGTTGTTTGAGACGCGATTGAAATTTATTGAATTGCTTCCTGTACTTCGGAGTTTCAGTCAGAAGGTCCCCAAAGGGAGGAACTCAATGCCTGTAATTTGATGTCTTCAAGAAGTGTCAGATAGCTGGTAGATACATTAATACTGTTGAGATTTGCTTTTCTTTGTAAGAGAAGGATTGGCATACAGTTAGACATAGATGCTTTCCCCTCTTCATTATACTACTGTTTTTGGAAACCAGCTAATGGGAATTTGGTTTTCAAAAGTTTTGCTTGGCAGGTATTGATGCCAAATACTTAATGGGACAGAGTGTAAGTCCATTTTAAATGTAAGTTATCCACACTTGATGATACTTGATGCATGCCTTTGTCACTTGATTACAGCATTTGAGAGTCGGTATGCATTGATATTGAATGTTTGAAAGAAAGCACGGGATAACATTTAGTGTTTGACAACTGGCAGTTTAAGGATTTTTATATTTAGTGCCTGCCAAAACAAACGTAGCAGCAGAGCTAAAGTATTCAATATTTATAGTTTTCAGAGAAAACTCGGCAAATGTTGGATATGTGACTATTTAGAAATGTATGTTCAATTCAGCCCATCTGCTTTCTTCAACGTAAACTTTCTCATTTGGATATTCTGAAATAATTATACTCCCCTGAGCTGTTTTGAGAAGAAAAATGGTGAAATACAGCAAAGTAAAATAAAATAAAATAAAATAAAATGAAGGAAACCGATTTAGGTGCCATACCTAGTATCACTAACTCCTGTTGTTGTTGTTGTTGTTGTTGTAACTCCTTTCCCAAATGGCTTTTCATATTTGTCTAAATATTTTAGAAATTGATCATGGGTTTTTTGCCATTATGATAATTTTAAGACCTTTAACAGCACAGAGAGAGTATCAAACTGCTGGAGGCTCAGGCAGAAGATGCAAAACTGGAAGAGCTCAGTTTGAAGATTCCTCCCTCCCCCCCAAAAAAGAAAAAAAAACGGACACCAGATTTCTTTGCAGTGGCCATTGTTTGGTGAGCCAAATCTCTACGCAAGATAGGGGGAACTTGAATAACTAAGTTTGCAGTCTTCATTGGTAAACTGAGTTTGAGGATTTATTAGTAGGTTAGTTTTGGACGTTATATTGCATAAGGGAATTTTTAACTAGAGTGTTAGTCCCATTAAGCATAAAAAATAGGACAGGAGAAAACTAGAGGCATAACTTTAGGGTTAATAATGAATTATTTGGGTGGGGATATGGAGTTCATTGATTACAGGGTTGTAGTGATGCAGTCCTGAACATCAACTCTGATCATTATTACATCATGAAAGCAGCACAAAGAATTGATTACCGGTTCAGTCTTGAGCCTTCTTAAAAAGCCACCAGAACCTCTACAACAGGGGTCTTCACATTTGGCCCTTTTATGACTTGTGGACTTCAACTCCCAGAATTCCTCAGCCAGTGTACTCTACAAGAAGATGTCTCACAAAGGCATTTCTAACCTTGGTTAATTTTTGATGGCTATCTTTAATGTTTTTATTGAGAACAGAGTGCGGTGGTGAGATCTAAAATGAACTTTTAATCTATGGCTGTTGGAGCTGCATTTATATATTGTTATCTATTTGTTGCTTTTAAGATTATTGCCATGTATCAGCTTCATATGAAAGGCTCCTCTTATGTCAAAACTGCAGAAAAGCACTAACAAATAAAGGGCAGAATGCCTAGTAACAGGGCACAGAGATGTTTATGCAGATAAACAGTAGAAGAGATTAGCACAGGGGAAAAGCTGCTGCAAGAACTGAGTCATGCTTGCAAAGCAATTATTAGATTATTCAACCTTTAACGACACTTGGGCATAACGCACGAACACATTGGAGATGAGCAGCTGGGCTCCGAGCTGTGATGAAAGCTCTCTGTTGTGTTTGAGAACTGACCCAGAGACTTGTTTATTATTTAGAGCACTTACAGCACACTTTCAAATATTTAATACCTTGCTTCTCAGCCTGAAAGATCTTGGCTTGTGAATGTCAAGGTAGCAGTCTAAAGAGGGAAAACAGAAAAGAAAAAAGGAATGGAGACTAGACAAAGAAAACAAGGAAATGTAAGCATCTGAATACCCTATTGTCACCCTGCACCATAGTAGAAAGTGGCATTTTGGCAGGTGGAAGACTTACAGCCCATTAGTGACATTGCATTGGATGGCGTGTTCTTCTAAAGCAGCATACTCTAATTTTTTCCCAGTCTTGCCACAAAACATTTTTTTAATTATCTCTTGTGCATAAGTACAGATAGTTCATTTAGTGACTGTTCAAAGTTATAACAGCACTGAAAAAAGTGACTTATGACCATTTTTCACAATTATGACCACTGTAACATCCCCATGGTCATGTGATTTACATTCGGCTGCTTGACAGCTGGTTCATCTTTATGACGGTTGCAGTGTCCCAGGGTCATGTGATCACCTTTTGCAATCTTCTGGCAAGCAAAGCCAATGGGGAAGCCAGATTCACTTAACAACCCTGTTACTAATTTGACAACTGTAGTGATTCACTTAGCAACTGTGGCAAGAAAGGTCGTAAAATGGGACAGAACTCACTTAACAAATTTCTCCCTTAGCAACATAAATTTGTGATAATAAGTCAAGGACTACCCGTACTGAATATTATAAATCTCTGTCCCCTCTGCAAGGTTATTTCTCTCTCTTTCTCTTTCTCATATCAATAATTAATAAAAGTCTATGTTGTTATGATGCAAGCTCATATTGTTATTTTCAGTCCCAGGTTACAGGATTATTTTCTTTAGATTTAAACTTGGCTAGTTGCGTTTGTTTTGAATAGTGACCTCATTTTATTACAAAAGTAGATTTTTTTTTTCAGTGCTATGTGAATCCTGTCAATTGCCACAAGGGTGAAGAACAGTACATGACATTTTAGATAACTAAGTAAACTTCATAAACTTTATTTGGCATGTTGTACAAAATTTTAAAGGTCTGGGTAATAAAATGCCAAGTGCTCCAACTTGAATAATTAGTGAGAAAATTATTTATTTATTGGTTCTATGATGACATAATGGGTAATTCAAGCCAAAGCAGGAGAAAGAAAGAAAGAAAGAAAGAAAGAAAGAAAGAAAGAAAGAAAGAAAGAAAGAAAGAAAGAAAGAAAGAAGCTTTGTACTAGTAGACAAAGACTTGAAACAGCCGAGAAAATTTCTTATTTTATGAATTGATACCCATTTATAGTCAGTTGAATTATATGTTAAAAAGTTAATTATCTCAATATTTTTTTTACTGATCTGATTTAATTTAAATCTGCCCATTTCTCAAAATATATAGATAGGGCAACATGTGATTCAGAAGTGAAGCCACATTATTATTAGGGTTATTTGTAAATGAAGCCACCTTGCTATTTATTATTCTAATGAAGAGTAAGAAAATTGGAGCTCCACTCTTATGCATATTGACTTTTGAGAAGTCTTATTCAATTCATTGGAATGTGCTTTTGGATCGAGCTGGACTGTGGTTGAAATTAGTTCAACACTTTCCTGGGTTTCCTGGATTTCAAGAAAGCTTTTCAAGTGATATTTGTGAGGTCATTGATTTTTCTCTCTCTTTCTCCTTTACTTTTTACTGCATTCCTTTCACATTATGAGTGGCTTTCTAGAGATGTCTGGAATGTCCTTGAGAATTATAAAAAGCTCCACATTCAGTGTAAGCTCTTTTTGTTAGAGTTTTATCAAAAGGGACAGGGTGTTCACATAAAGTGCTGCATACAGCTCAAAGCACTTGACAAGTTTTTATAAGTGGCCTTATTCATGCCTGCCTGTGAGAAATCAAGCATAAGAATTTTCTCCATTATTTCTTCTTCAAGCATAAATTATTACCTTGAAGTGCATGTTGAATGTGCAGGAATCTTCTCACAAACCAAAGCAGTGACACTAGTTGAAGGTGATCCCAACAACTTGAAAACCCTTGGAATCTGTATTGCTCTTCATAGCATTGGTAGAATTGGAAAGGGAAAGCTGGACTCTAGGAAATAAGAATAATTTTGCCCAAAGTCATTCTCTTTTTGAAGAAAAATAAAGACATACTTGAGTACTGGAAAATAATATTCCAAGAAATTTTTGAGAAAAGCAAAGAAAATATCCAGGTGACTTGATTAAAAAAAAAATTGGTCACTATACACAGCAAAGGTGGGCACTGCACCAAAACCAGAGATGGTCTTTTTTATTATTTCTTTGTTATTTGTTATGGTCTAGGGCAGGGGTAGGCAACCTCGGCTCTTTTATGACTCATGGACTTCAACTCCCAGAATTCCTGAGTCATAGCTGAAGTCCATGAGTCATAAAAGAGCCGAGGTTGCCTACCCGTGGTCTAGGGCAGTGATGGAGAACCTTTTAGAGACTGAGTGCCCAAACTGCAACCTAAAACCCACTTATGTATCATCGGGTGCCAGGTGGGCATGACCCATTGGGTGGATGTGGCTGCGGTGGTAACCGCAGATTGGGTGGGACTAAAAAGTTCAATCAATCAATTCCAACTTTGTGAGATCTTTTTTTTTCCTGTGAGAAATTGAAATTGATTGAGTGAACCTTTTTTTTTTTTTTTTTGCACACGGTGACAGAGGCCTAAAGCGAAAAGGCTTTATAAAACCCAGCTGAAGGCCTAGGACTGGGGCGATGACGCATGTGCCCACAGAGAGGACTCTGTATGCCACCTGTGGCATGTGTGCCATAGGTTCACCATCACGGGTCTAGAGTCTTCTGCTTGTGTAAGAGGTTGGAATACAAGACCTCAAAGGTGTCTTCCAACTCTGTTATTCTATTATTTTGGCCAGGATAGGTGATACTAAGCTGATATGATCCAGTGGAGGGAAATAATTTAAAAAAACTCATCTTGCTACCATCTTTGAGTTACAATGGTCAGTTATGTTGGATTTCTGATCACCAAGAGAAACTATAGCCATGTCTGATTATCTGAAATGCTGGGACACATTTTCAGAGCATGCAGTTCTACTGGTATTCGCCAACCTTCCTTGATCTGATTACTTTTGAATGTTGCTTAGAAAGTTTGGGAGCTGTGGTCCAACCATATCTAGAGACCAAATCAAAGAAATGCTTGGGTTTTTTAAAAAGAGATCACCGTCCACACAATAGTCCTTAACTCCTGACCTTAATGGAGCCTGCCCATCACAGTTGTAAGTCATGACAGTCATAAAACGGGTATCGTCTGCCACCTCACACTTGCACTTCATAACCGTTCAGTATCAGCTGCCATGAACTGGGGAGATGTTTCTAGAGAATCGAAACTTCACTGTATCTCTCTGAGAAGAGCTTCAAGGACAATCAGCTGGGAACAGAAGCAGCTGCATACCAAACCTACACCTGAAGTGACCGTTCTAAAAACATCTTATTTGAATTTGGTTGGACATGGGGGGCCAGTGAGGGGAAGCAACTAAGGGAGGAGGAAGTTAGACTTGGGGATTTTAGCGTGCGATTTTCAGTTATGGCTATGCATTACTGTAACTCACTTGACTTCGAGTAAACTATACCTTTCTCCATAAATGGAGTTAAGGATCGTTCTTACGAAGAGGTTCAAGCTGAGGCAGGTCTGATGAGTTGGTCCCCTGACTGACCTGGTTTTATAACTTTTGCTGTGGCAGTTGTTAAAGTGTGGTCATTAAATTAATTCCTCAGTCATTAAGTGAACCAGTGGTTCACAATGGGCACAGTTTTGCTGAAAACTAGAAGTAAATGTTAGTTTTTGACAAAAGCATCATAAAGTGTACTGATATGACTGCAGGATTCTGCAAATGGCCATAAATGTGGCCCAATTGCCAAGTGCCTGAAATTTAATCAAATGACAATGGGTGTGTGTGTGTGTGTGTGTGTGTCTGTGTCTGTGTCTGTGTGTGACTCATCAGAACTTTGAACTCATGTCATAAGTAGTCCCCAAGTAGATCTGTTATAACTTCAAACAATCGTAAGTCAAGGACTATCTGTATTATGGCTAGCTCCATGGGTATTGTAAACTACTTAAAATACAAATAGAAAGAAAATTTAAACAAATGTCTAGAAAGAATTAAAAAGAACAAATTAAAAATATTGAAAAAAACAAGTAAACAACAGAACTAAAAATATTACATACACACTCACATGCATAGGCACATATGAAAGATAAAATGAATGTTAGGCTATTCCAAAATTATATATTTGAATTTCAATATATAATTTGAAATTTCAATCACGATTCAATTTTTAGACAATGAATTAAACTTAGGCATATGTAATTACATTTTCTTTTTGCCTAGTACATTGTGTAAACTTTGCCTGTTGAGATGTAATCAAGAAACCATAGTTAATGTTCATGCTTAGCATGTCGTGGCTATCCAATCACACAACAGTTGAGATGTTAAGGTACTCATTCAGGTGGATCAGAACTTACTTATAGCAGTTTGAATCTTGCTATATTTTATCAGTTTACCAAGTGCATTTGTAAACTTCAGATCCGTTTATTTCCCAATATGTTGACATTTTCTGAAAACTGAGCAGATAATACAATGTCATGGCTTACTTGTTACTGAAGAGAAGTAGCATTTCACTGCCATCTGTTCATTGTGAAGTTCCAGATTAATTGAATTCCTGGGGACTAGTTTGCTGAATTAAATATTTGAATGTTGTTGAAGGACTGTTCATGAAATGCAAAAATTTCTCTAGGAAACCTTTGTAGAGATAGCGGGGACGTAGAAAACCTAGTCTACCTGGGCCTGCTTATCTGTTTATAGGTAAGGCATAAGAAAATCCTGGTCTCCTAACTAGATCCACCTATCTACTTTTAAGCTGGCAGTTGCCCTGGAACAAGTAGCTGTAGCATATGTCAATGGCAGAGAGAGCCATCTGACTGTTTAAAAGACAGTCAACAACAGTGCAACAATGGAGACCAATGGCACTCCATCAACAAATGAGGAAGAAAAAAAAAAGACTTCTCTTAAAACATGAAGCCTTATATACATATGCATGATCAACAATTAAATGCAATGAAAATAGTTATAGTCCCTGTAGATTTTGTTCCCTTGCTATGTAATTCCTGGCATATGGATGACTTGAGAGGTTCAGCTCATTTTCTTGGAAAGAAAATTCTCTGAACAGAAGCTTTCCTCCTTTGGGACTGGGCCAAGTAGCAGAACAGGCTTGCCAAGTTCTCCAAAAGGTGGCTTAGAACACGAGGAAGTCACATTTTTCAAATCTTAATTTCATTTTGCTGAACTTAAGGAGGCTTGTGCTTCCTTGCACTGAATTCTATGTTTCATTTGCTAGCCTTGAATTCATTCAATACACGTGGACTAGGTAGAGCATCACCGCTACTAAACTATTAAAATTTTGTTTTAAGTTCTTGCTATGAGGGTTTGCAGATTGTATTTGGCATGGCAGCTGAACAAAAGTTGTCCAGATCCAACCAGTGCTTTGAAGTATGTGTATTTCTTTTTCTAACAGGGTCAGGGTTGAGCTTTTGGAAAGCCAACACTAAACAAATGTCAGAACTGAGATCAGTATGATGAAGTATGAGCATATTACAAAAGCAGATGTAGCGCCATCCCTGTAGGGATCGCTTAAGTCTGGGCCCTCCCGACCTCCCCTCCAAGTGGCCACCAGCCCAAAGAGGTCTCTTATGTTGGTGCCTCTGCCTAACAGGGCACGTAACATGGTGGTATTCAGTCATGATCAGCAGCCATGCACATGGGGTGGTGATGGTCACTCTCTCTCAACGGTGACTCACTTAGGATGATGGTGGTTGATCTCAGGTAATATGAACTTACAGGGAAGATGGTAGTCAATCTCTAATGACAACAACTTGCCCAGAATGATGTTAATCAGCTTCTGGTGATGGCAATTTGCCTAGAATGATGGCGGTCAGTCTCTAGTGACAGCAACTTGCCTAAAACAATGGTGATCAGTCTCTGGTGAGAGCAACTTGCCTAAAGCAATAGTAGCCAGTCACTGGTGGCAATAACTTGCCCAGAATGATGGCAGTTAGTCTCTCATGACAGCAACTTGCCTAAAATAATGGCAGCCAGTCTCTGTTGGCAACAACTTGCCCAGGACGATGTTAATCCATCTTTGATGACAACAACTTACCTAGAACAATGGCAACCAATCTCTGGCACTGGCCTCCCTTGTCTGTTCTCCTTGCCCCTCTCTGACTTCAATCCATGTAATCCCTTTTTATCTCCCCCAGCTGACCCTATAAAGAAAAAAACCCGTTACCTCCCACTAAAAGATGTATGTCAAACTCTTCCCTAATTCTCCCTCTGCCTAACTTACTCCAATGAGGGAAAGGAATTAAAACTCCCCAAACTAACCTTTCTCCCTCTCTTCATCTAGCCTGTTCACAATGAAAGATAAAGAAACAATAAAACTTCACCTTTCCCCCTCCCCCCACCCCCTCTCTTTGCCTGGCCTGCTTCAAGCAAACGGCTCCAGCAACTACTCTCACCCTCTATCCCTCCCTGCCTGGCCTGCTTCAAGCAAACAGCTCCAGCAACTACTCTCACTCTCTCTGTCCCTCCCCCTTTCATCCGGCTTGCCTGTAAGCAAAAAAAAGCAAATGCAAAAACCCCACCTTCTTACTCTGTCTTTGATCAGCTGGCTCAGAATGACAAGCTCCACCAAGCCTTCTCTCTTCCTCCTTTCTATCAGCTTCCTCCTCCTTTTTCTTACCTTCTCCGAGCCACACCACGCCGCCAAACCCATGGCAGCTGCCGGAGCTCCTCATCTTCTTGCCTAATTGGCAGGGCTCCTGCAAAGCCTTTCACCTGGCCCCATTCTCACCCCAACTCTACTACACATTCCTCCCACCCAAAAATTATTTGGTCTCCTAAGAATAAGATAATTACCAAGAATCTGAGGTGTCAGAATTTCACCTGGTGGTGAGTATCATTTCTTCTATGCTCTGGCCTAGGGCATCGTATGTCAGTCTTTTAATTGGGTGTATCACCCATCTTGGTCTCTGTACTTTGGGCTCGGCGATAATATGAGGGTCATCCTCCCATGACTTTCCACCCGTAAAGGTCTCAGGGGCTGGGGGCTCATGATCTAACTCTGGCAGTTGTGTAGCATGTAGAATAACTGGGCCTATCTCTGTAGACTCTTCTAGCCTGGGGCCTCTGGAGCTAACAGCACTTCCTCCTGTCCCGACAGCTCCCCAGACTCCTCTCTTGCCTCAGATTCTCTAAGGGCTTCTCCCCATTCCCAAGCTTTAATCACCTCAGAGGCATCTGGTCTCAGATGTTCAAGCTCCACCTCAACACCTAATGTGTGGGGGTGTGTGGCTCCAATATCTTCCGATGACCACAACCAGCCCATACAACCCTCTTCTTCTTCAGAATCCTCCTCTCCTTCCATGGGTGGATTGGGTTGTGCTCGAGTCTCTGGTCTCCTCCCTACTGAGCAAGGTTCAGTTGCTTTAGCAACAACTGGCTGGGGGACTCGTGTTGCCTCATTTAAAGGCAATAAATGATTTTGATGCCATGCTTTCAGTGGCCCTGAGCTCTCCTCTAGTCAAATCCGATATACTGGCAATCCCTGTAACTTCTCCCTGACAATGTACAGCTGAGAGCCTCATCGATCTGCCAGTTTATGCTTCCCAGGGAGGCCCAGATTCCTCAGTAATACCCAGTCATCAGGTTGCAAATCCTGAAGCCTCATCTTCAGGTCATAGTTCATCTTATTTCTCTGCTCCCGGACCCCTGCAATGACTGAAGCCTTTTCATATGCCATCTTCAAGTTCCTCCTCAGCTTATCTACATAATTGTGGTGTGACCTAAATGAGATCTCATCCACTGAAATGCCAAATGCTATATCTACTGGCAGTCGAGCCTCCCTACCCAAATATCAGTCTATATGGAGACTACCCAGTGGCATCATTTTTCTTGCTGTTATGTGCCTGTACAAGGGTGGAAATATGCTGTGTCCAATGTTCTTCTGTTCTGCAATCAGCGTCCCCAGCATGTCAAGAAGGATACGATTAAACCTCTCAGGCTGTGAGTCTCCTTGTGGATGATAGGGGTGGTGGTGGTACAGGCCTGTGCAATGGAAGCATTTGGAACAAAGTGGGTGATGCAGCATCTGTTGCCTTCTCTTGATTTGCTGGAGAAAGAGAATGGGCTGGTATGAATTCCAGTCAAATATTCTTGGAAACTGGTACAGAGAAGTAAAACAGATCATCCCTACTAGCTAATCTGGCTAGAGGGATCCCTGATTATTCAGGAGGAACTCAGCCAGGCTAGTCAGCTGTGGAAAGTGGAGCATGTGTGGGAACCATCTGAATTACTAAATACCACTGTATTTTTGAAGATACATTGAAAAGAAAGCTCCAAGACTTCATTTAGAGCAGGGCCCCCCAAATTCTTTAGCTCATCAGATTGTTAACTGATCCTCAAATAGTTATTCTATGAAAATAATTTAAGAACAGCTAGTTTAATCACATTGCAAATAATAATAATGACACCCATATTAATGCCTATCTAATAATGCCTATATTCTCAGATGCTACCTTAATCATTCTTAGGTCCTTGGTTAGGATATGAACTATTTAGTTTCCACATTCTTAGACTGTGTATCTAACTGTAGATTACCCACAGATGATGATGATGATGATGATGATGATGATGACAATTCAAGGTAGCTCTCATTTTTAGATTTACATGGAAGATTGAAAGTATGGTTGATTTAAAACAAGGGTATCAAACTGCCGGCCCACGGGCCGGACGTGTCATGCGGAAGCCGCGCCTACCCCATTGCCGGCAATGGCAAAACTATCCCGATACGTTGCGCGACGTCACGTGACATGACATGAGTTTGACATGTCTGATTTAAAAGAATGCTGAGGGTTTTTTTCTACACATTTTGAAGCAGCTCTTCCAAATCATTTCTAATCTTCAGTTTTCAAATTGTGCTCTAAGGAGTAGAAACACAGAGCTAATTTCTCTGAGAGACAGTTTGCCTAACGGAGAAATTTGTGTCAAAATATAATTGTATTGTTAAGACATTTTCTTGCTGTGTACAGTGTGCAGCAGAGAAGGATCTTCTTGTACAGCAAATGGCTGTTGAAACCGAGTTCCAATTTGATTTTTTGAGTGGCACATCATTGGGGACTAAGAAATATAGGAAATGTTTGCTGTCTTCTATTGCAAGATACAGTATATGCTATGATGGAGAGTGGTGTTCCAATTCTCAAGAGACTTTTGCCAGCATACAGTCGTGTCTCTGAAAGAAGAAAAACATGAAAAATGAATATTTGACTATCTCATGCAGCCAGTATGCCAGTATTGCTCTGTGTAGCAAAAACATTGACATTGCTTATTCGGGACTTATAGAAGTTGGAGATGTTTCAGATGAAATGAGATTGCGTGACTGATAATATAACATGCAGGCAACAGCCAATTGTTAAGAAGAAGATCCATCAATCACTCCTTTGCTGGTTCGGGCATGTCTGAAGAATGGATGTGCCACACCTACCTATGCATCTGCTGGAAAGATGATGTCTACCTGGCTGGAAATAAATAATAATAAGTCTTGTCTTCCCAAGACTTAAATCAGCCAAATAGCAACTGATGCTTAGTGATTATGTTGTAATATCACAAATTGCAGCATCTGCTGAGGACCTCAAATACTGGAAGGCTATCTGCAGAGATTTCTATTAACCATGGCCATCACAATTTTGCGGTGATATTCTATGATTTGTCTAAAATGATATAAAATGATATGGAAGAGGTGAACTAGAAGACCTCCAAGGCCTCATGGAGCTGAACTAGAAGACCTCCAAGGCCTCTTCCAGCTCTATTCTGATTGATTGATTGAGCCAGTCTGCAGGTGCTAGAATATATGAATGAATGAATGAATGAATGAATGAATGAATGACTTTAGGAACTAGAAATGAAATTAAATATTTGAAATGTTCTGAACAAAGCAACAGGATTCTGAATAGTTTTCACAGGTCTGCAAAAACGTAAAAATCTTAATTTGTTGGGCAATAATGCTAATTAGAGAGAAAAGGGAAGACTGTACATTCATCAGTCCTTCTAAGCAGCAGCTCTGCCATTGGAGTAGCAGCTGGACAGCATTTTGAACGAATCCTGTGTGGTGAGATGCAAACTAATCATTATAAAAAAATAAACATTGTCAGAATTTGTCTCAAACATGTAAACTGAAATCTCTATGGAAATATGAGAAAAGTTTGCCAAATGTCTGCCTGAAAGATCTCACAAAGACATTTTAATGCTGAATGCAACTAAGGAAGCTCTAGGTTTTGTTTTAAAGGACAGTTTGTGCGATTCTGAGTCTTAGCACATATCAGAAAGAAATGTGAGGCCAGAAGATGAATAAGGCATTGTTTTTTTTCTCCCAAGAGCGCTAATGGGAGTGTGCCCAGTAAGTTGTGGTTATTTGGGCTGGTCTCTTCAGCTTATGCCAATTGAACAAAGGCATCTTTTATTATCATATGTTTGCATAATGGTAGGATTTAGAGTAAATTGACAAGCAGTAGTGAAAAATAGATTATGGCCATTAAAAAGTAAATAACCATTGATTCAGAAGAAACATTTCATACCCTGTGGCATGGTTCCAACGGCTTACCACTAAATGTTTTAAAACCAGCCCTGCTGGCTCCATTGCCATACCATGCTGCTAATTGCACAACAGCTGATAGGCATGCTAGGCATCGAGGGTCATCATTGCTGTCATTGGGTCTGCACAATTCTAGAAAATCTAACAATCAGCTCTTGTGAGTCAGTGCAAGCTGGCTCCAGCACACTACAGACTGCTTCTCACAATGGAAGTATGCTGGCAGGAAGAAACCTATCTAAAGTAGTGGAGCACAAGAGGTGACACGTTAAGTATGCTGGCATTAGATAGAAAAGACCAGGGACACTTATTAAGTTCCAATTAAAGTGATTTATTGCTCATGCTTATACATAGGAATCTACTCAACTAATAGGTTAGCGCCATTTTGGTGCTAGATAAGGGTTAACAGAATTCAAGAAGGGTCGGACTTAGTTCGATTGTGGCAACGTAGAGACTCTAAGCTGATTCCTCTTTTGATTCTGTCCCCAGGCTCTGTCAATCCTTTTCCTAGAGTTGGGCTCCCTGTATAGAAAAAGTTAACTCAGCCCTGCCATA